TAAGAGTAAGTATCAGTATAAATACGGAATCTGATAGTTTATCAATAAGATAAGGGCGTATTAAATTATAGAATAATACAAAACTCAAGGCTACTGACTTTTCAAATTGCTTTCTCCTCGCGGAGAGATTTTGGACTTCTTTGTCTCTGCGCTTTATAGAATGCTTCATTTTGTAATAAACTTTTCTATGGCGCTTGGGAAGCATCATCTCGCGAAGTTTAAGCTCAGCGTTCTCATTTTTGCTTGTGTCCTCGGAGTTTTGGTGCTGTACATGACCAGGTAGAACTGCAATCTTGCCTACGTAAAGTTTTATAATGAGCGCATGCAAGTATTAGTATGATTTTAGCATTGATAAATGGGTAGACTTACTCTTTGACGAAATTCGCTTTTTGGCTTTTTTGATGTCTTGTGTTGCGCAGTTTTGTCCATTTTTAGCGTAGCTGTCCTCGATATTTTCGAACAAACGGCTCTCTGTTGAGCAAGCAACGGCACTACCGCGTGTCTCAGCCAGACTAACTAGGCCCGCGAGATAATCCACTTCCGGAGGCTTGTATAGCTGAGCACCCACCCCCATACCTGGTACAATACTTGTAAGTCCACCTGAAATATGAGGACGGATCGAAGTCTCGTTTTGCAAAGCAATAGAAAACGGACTTAAATGAGCAGGAAGTTCGACTCCAGGTAGATAATCCTGGCCTGGAAGAAGCCTACCAGAATTGAGACTATCAAAAACCCATTGGGGTTGCACGTAAAACCTGCAAATATTATAGTAAAATTCAACTTAGACACTGAACTAGAAGGTGATGAAGAAATTGGCACTAACCTGGAAGGCTTCATCTTTGACAATGGCCTATCCAGTATATGGTAGTCTACGGAGATGTCCTCTTCAGAAAATGTAGCTCCTGGGCACAAATAAGCTTCCCATGACACTTGTCCCCCACAAGCACGTAATATAAGAGTTATAACCTCTCTTGGGACCTCTCGACTTAGGAAGAATCGCTTTCCCTCAAATAACTGCTGGATACTTCGCGTTTTAGCTTGCCTGTTAACCGCAGATGCGAAATCGTTATCAATTTCCTGTACAAAGAATCACGATCACAGATATTTACATATACACGCAATTAATCTAGCTCTAGCAAACCAGAGATAGACCTGATAACATTTTAATAAGGATACCTGAAGTTCTTC